GCGGGTCTGCGAGGGGTGGGAGAGAGCTGCGAGCGCCAGGTAGCGCTGAAGCGCTCCTGGGTCGCGGTGGGAAGGCCGGGGGAGGAGGTTGGCTGGGCTGGCCGGAGCGTGCTGCTGGTCGTCGCGGAGTCGTCCGGGTTGGAAGAGACCTCCGAGAGGATCGAGGCCAACCGCTGAATCCGCAGCCTGCGGAAGGGGTCTGTGGCTCTTGCTGGGAGAAGAACCCAGGTGTTCCGTCGCTGCGGTCTCTGCTCGGCCTGTGGCACCGAAGCACGTAGCTGGGTTTTTATGAACGTGACAATAGCAAATGCTTAAACCGAAGGGGAAGAAAAAAACCCTCAAAACTCTGCTGTAAAATCTGTTTGCGTTTGCAGACTGCTGAGGAATTGGAAGGCCTTCTGAGGGGGGTGTAAAGGCAAAGCAAACGAAGTAAAAAATGCTGCAAATGTGTTTCACGTGGTCCCGGTACAATGAGCTTGTTAATGCCCAGGCCATCGTTCTTGGTGGTGACGAGGTGGAAGATCAGGGAATGGTTGAAGTGGAACCATAATGAGTTTCTAAAGAGAACAAACTTACTTTCTTTAATGTAGTGAGCTGAAAATCTCAATTAAGGAGCTGTTGCTTCATAGCACGTATGATATATTGGGTGAAAAACAAGTATCTCTTCTCAGAATACCAAGCGGCACCAACACGGAGGCTGCAAGTGTGATTACTGTTCCCCTTAGCCTGCTGCTTGCTTGGGTAGATCAGCCTGGCCCATCTCGTGTGTTCTTACCCCACTGTGAAAGTGGGGGTGGGATGCTATGTGAGATGTACCTTTGGTTTTGATCCCATGTGGCAGTTAAAGTACTTTGTCAGGTAATAATTCTTCCCGCTTTATCAGCCCTCAGTTTCTTTTTGTGGCTGTCACTCTGTATTGGCCAGGCAGTACAATTTTTTTTTTTTTCCTCCTTGTAGAAATTTTCTCATGTTCCTCTCCATGCCCTGTTGTAGTCTCTCATAAATACTATTTGCTCTTTTGTGGAATCTCTTTCTCTTTTTCTCATCTTTCTTATTTTACCAAATTTTTATGTTTTTTCTCTTTTCTGCTGTCGTCTCTGTGCTGCAAAAGACCTTCTTGGGCTTATGCTCAGGTTTGGACTTTGATATAGTTACATCTATCAGTGGTATAAAGAGAAGTGCTCCCTGACTGCTGGTTGGTTTTCTCTTCTTAAACTGGCAGAATGTTTGCTGATAAAAGCTCTACCTATGTAAAGAGTGTGATTTAGCATAGTATATATACAAGAATAAATTTGGTATTTAGTCTGGCTTGGGAAATGCAGGTTGGACCTCAGGATGGTTTGGATGGGGCAGGAATATAGTAATATATCACAGTATAATCACTAGCTCTGCTGGAGTCATAAGTCTTTGTTTCATGGTCAAAACTTTCAAACATGTAAATATTTACATCTTTCAATGCACTTTGGTAATATAGGGAAGAATTACTGTTAGTGTTTTTAATCTCGGATTTTTTGAAGGGATGAAAAAACGTCTGTGGAAGACAGGCAAGGAAGAACGTGAAAGGTAAAGGTGTATTTTACAGGATCCAATTTTGCCATTCCTGTGAAGGGATCTGTGAACAGACACATGAGGAAACAAACCTTGCTTCTGGGAGGAGTGCTGAGAATAAATACTCTAGGAAATCTGCAGTGCTGTAACTAAGGAGTGGAGTTGTATGCATAAGAAACCTCCACTTAATGGATTTGCAGTTAGTGGTACTGAAAATGATGTGAGATGGAACAACAGTTATGGCTGATAGAGGCACAGCCTAAATTATGTGAGGGTGATAAATGGGTAACTTTTCTGATCTCCAAGTTTCATCTTTTCATTCTCCTTCTGAAAATATGGCCTTTGAGCTTTCTGCTGTGCATGTGATGCATATGTGCTATTGTTGGTGGTGGTTTTTTTGTTGTTTTTAGACTTACTCTAACCTGAGTAAAAAAACGATTCTTGATTAGGCAAATAAGTTATTTCCTCTAGCTGGTGTCAAAGTATTTGATAAAGGACAAATATTACAAATACTCTGCAGTTCAGTTTTTTGTTTCTTTGTGAGTGTAGTAAGTAGAGATTTTATTTAAAGTTTTGGAACAGGAGAGTTGAGAGTTTGAATATGTAGCCTTGCGAGTACTGTCCCTCCTTCCAAAAGAAGGTTCTTCAAATATGACTCTACTGATGTCTCATGTTTTTCAGGCCTTTGCTCTCAGCCTGAATTATGTTGTTCAGAATGCTGGATGACTTCCCACCTCGTGGGAAGTAATAGTGAAACAACTTCACACGAGGCCGAGGAGGTTTTTTCCAGTGGAAGATACTCATTTGACCCGAGTGACTCAAGGAGTTGTACTTCAGTGACTGAACCTAAATAGTATAAACTTAAACTTCAGTTTTACAGCAATATAGACTTTGCAGGCAGTCTTAACTCGGTTCATTTTTGGTGGCAGTTGGGAACTTGATACAATACAGAGGCTTCAAATTCCTTTCCAAAACCGGAATAAATATTGTAGGTGAATATTAGCTGGGAGTGGGTTGGAGCAGAGTCTGGAGTGGCAAGGTGTGGAGTGTTGTGGAGAGCAGACTAAGGAGAGCTAGAGACTCACTGCTGATCGAGAAATTGGGGGGAGGCAGAGATATACTGCAGTGGAAAGAAAAAAGGGTCTTCTGGTTCTGTATTTTTCCTGTTATACTTTATGCTGGGCATCCAGCCATCTCTGAATCGTCTCTCAAGCTAGGATTTG